TTTGATTTGCCGCATACGGTTTTTTTTTGCCATATACGGCTTTTGGTCTGCCTCATACGGTTTTTGATTTGCCGCATAGGGTTTTTTTGTTTGCCTTATACGGCTTTTGGTCTGCCTCATAGGGTTTTTTGATTTGCCGCATAGGGTTTTTTGTTTGCCGTATACGGCTTTGGTCTGCCTCATACGGTTTTTGATTTGCCGCATACGGTTTTTTGTTTGCCAAAACGGCTTTTGGTCTGCCTCATACGGTTTTTGATTTGCCGCATACGGTTTTTTGTTTGCCATATACGGCTTTTGGTCTGCCCATACGGTTTTTGATTTCCCGCATAGGGTTTTTTTTGTTTGCCATTACGGCTTTTGGTCTGCCTCATACGGTTTTTGATTTGCCGCATACGGTTTTTTGTTTGCCATATACGGCTTTTGGTCTGCCTCATACGGTTTTTGATTTGCCCATAGGTTTTTTGTTTGCCATATACGGCTTTTGGTCTGCCTCATAGGGTTTTTTGATTTGCCGCATACGGATTTTTGTTTGCCATATACGGCTTTTGGTCTGCCTCATACGGTTTTTGATTTGCCGCATAGGGTTTTTTTGTTTGCCATATACGGCTTTTGGTCTGCCTCATACGGTTTTTAAATTTGCCGCAAAAGGTTTTTTCGTTTGCCATATATGGCTTTTGGTCTGCCTCATAGGGTTTTTTGATTTGCCGCATACGGTTTTTTGTTTGCCATATAGGCTTTTGGTCTCCCTCATGGGGTTTTTTGATTTGCCGCATAGGGTTTTTTGTTTGCCATATACGGCTTTTGGTCTGCCTCATACGGTTTTTGATTTGCCGCATACGGTTTTTTGTTTGCCATATACGGCTTTTGGTCTGCCTCATACGGTTTTTGATTTGCCGCATACGGTTTTTTGTTTGCCATATACGGCTTTTGGTCTGCCTCATAGGGTTTTTGATTTGCCGCATAGGGTTTTTTTGTTTGCCATATACGGCTTTTGGTCTGCCTCATACGGTTTTTGATTTGCCGCATAGGGTTTTTTGTTTGCCATTACGGCTTTTGGGGGCCTTTTACGGTTTTTGATTTGCCGCATAGGGTTTTTTTGTTTGCCATATACGGCTTTGGTCTGCCTCATAGGGTTTTTTGATTTGCCGCATACGGTTTTTGTTTGCCATATACGGTTTTTGGTCTGCCTCATACGGTTTTTGATTTGCCGCATACGGTTTTTTGTTTCCCAAATACGGCTTTTGGTCTGCCTCATAGGGTTTTTTTGATTTGCCGCATAGGGTTTTTTTGTTTGCCATATACGGCTTTTGGTCTGCCTCATACGGTTTTTGATTTGCCGCATAGGGTTTTTTTGTTTGCCATATACGGCTTTTGGTCTGCCTCATACGGTTTTTGATTTGCCGCATACGGTTTTTTGTTTGCCATATACGGCTTTTGGTCTGCCTCATACGGTTTTTGATTTGCCGCATACGGCTTTTGGTCTGCCTCATACGGTTTTTGATTTGCCGCATACGGTTTTTTGTGTTCGTTTACGGCTTTTGGTCTGCATCTCATTCAACGAACGTTAATGAAAGCAGATGATACTCGATTAGGGTTTTTCTTATAGGGGATAGAATGCGGGCTCATTTCAAAGATAGTTTTTAAAAATTGTGTATGAAACAAAATACATAGACCCGAGTGAGCCGGGCCGAAATGAAAAGGGATTGTTGCGCAATATACTCCGCGCCGTGGCAGGCGGGGAGGGATTGTCAATGCAAGGAGGGGTGCCATTGTTTACGCCCGGTGCCGCTGGCGCTGTACCGAGGAGGGGTTGTCGAATTCCGCGCAGGCTGCGCCTCATTGCCAGCCAGCCAGCCAGCCACAGCACCAGCCCCCCCCGGCCGCCAGCCCCTATTATATTGTTAGGATACGCGCTTGGTTTCTGGACTCGAGAGTAAAAGCACGCTGACACCTTCATTTGTGTATAGTAGTTTTAAGTTTTTTCAAGTGTGAAGGTATCATCTGCTAAAAATCGGCGGCAAAAAGTGGCAATACGAAAGTCTCAAGGAGACCCGCCGATCAGCTTCGGTGTTCTTATGGGAACCGGGCCTTCATCCGACGCTCCCTGCCGCGCAATTCGACAGATTAGTGGGTTCGTATTAGGCTGGCCCACCCGGGAAATGCGCGCGGTTTCTGTGGTACAGTGAGAGTCCAGATTTAGAGGCCTTACCTCAGAGGGGTCACATTGGGTATTTGAAAACCCCCGACCCCCAGTGCCGAGTCTAGTCAACTCCTCTACCCTGACCGCTCAGCCACCGAACCAGCTTGTCCCGGGGGCGATGTCGCAACTCCTCTTGAGCTGCCGTTCGAGAAATCTGGTCCCGAAAAAAAGGTACTTTTGGGGGGTCTCGAACCCGGGACCTGCTGCTTCCCACATCATGCTCTCAACCACTGAGCCACCGGGACGCCATGGCACCCGCCCTGCCCGCGCTGGTACTCAATCTTCTCTGGATATACCTCCCCAAGCAATTTGGGCGCCGAAAAATTGTGTGTACTACCGGTCCCGAACCCGGGACCTGCTGCTTCCCACATCATGCTCTTAACCACTGAGCCACCGGGGCGCCATGGCACCTGCCCTGCCTGCGCTGGTACTCAATCTTCTCTGGATATACCTCCCCCAAACAATTGGTCGCCGAAAAAATTGTGTATACTACCGGTCCCGAACCCGGGACCTGCCGCTTCCCACATCATGCTCTTAACCGCTGAGCCACCGGGACGCCATGACACCCGCCCTGCCAGCGCTGGTACTCAATCCTCTCCGAATAAACCTCGTCAAGAAGTCGGTTGCCTCTGCCGAAAAATATGGTCATGGTACTAGTCTCGAACCCGAGACCTGCCAGTCAGGAACGCAGCACTCTAACCACTGCGCTACTTGGTTGCTACGCACAACGCTCACCCCATCGCCGAAGTTATTATTTGTCCAGCATCAAGCAAGATGGGTGGCTATTGAAGTTTGGCGCTAGGTTAGTGGCGTGCATACCAACCTGGTAGCGCCGTGGTTAGGGGCTGCGTTCCTGACTGGCAGGTCTCGGATTCGAGGCTAGTGCCATGAGCATATTTTTTGCCGGGGCAACCCACTTCTTGACGAGGTCTATCCAGAGAGGAATAAGTACCAGCGCTGGCAAGGCGGGTGCCATGGCGTCCCGGTGGCTCAGCGGTTAAGAGCATGATGTGGGAAGCGGCAGGTCCCGGGTTCGGGACCGGTAGTATACACATTTTTTTTGGCGACCAATTGCTTGGGGGGGTATATCCAGAGAAGGTTGAGTACCAGCGCAGGCAGGGCGGGTGCTATGGCGTCCCGGTGGCTCAGCGGGTTTCGAGCACGTTGTGGGAAGTGGCAGGTCCCGGGTTCGGGACCGGTAGTATACACAATTTTTTCGGCGACCAATTGCTTGGGGAGGGATATCCAGAGAAGATTGAGTACCAGCGCAGGCAGGGCGGGTGCCATGGCGTCCCGGTGGCTCAGTGGTTAAGAGCATGATGTGGGAAGCAGCAGGTCCCGGGTTCGAGACCGCCAAAGTACCTTTTTTTCGGGACCAGATTTCTCGAACGGCAGCTCAAGAGGATTGCGACATCGCCGCCGACAAGCTGGTTCGGTGGCTGAGCGGTCAGGGTGGGGGTTGACTAGACTCGGCACTCGGGGTCGCGGGTTCAAATCCCCAATGTGACCCCTCTGAGGTAAGGCCTCTGAATCTGGACTCTCACTGTACCACAGAAACCGCGCGCACTTCGGGTGGGCCACCCAATACGAACCCACTAATCTGTCGAATTGCGCGGCAGGGAGCGTCGGATAAAGGGCCCCGGTTCCCATAAGAACACCGAAGCTGATCGGGGGGTCTCCTTGAGACTTTCGTATTGCCACTTTTTGCCGCCGTTTTTTTCGTTTTTTTGTTGAATATTTTTTTTTAATTTTTTTTTTGGGTAGGCGAACTATAGGTAGGCGAAAAATGGCAATATTTTATTGAATTTTTTATTCAATATTTTTATTAGGTAGGCGAAATATAGGTAGGCGAAATAGACAGGTAGGCGAACATTTAGGTAGGAGAAATGATATAGACTCCCGTGGTGGGCGGACACCGTGGCGCGGCGGCGGGGTTAGCGTCTCCATTGCAGCGTTGCATGCCGCTTCTCAATGGCTAAGCCTCCGTTCGGGCATGGCGGCGTGATGCGTAAGCCCCTCCGCGAGTTATTTCCGCTCCGAGAAGTTGGCAAGACTGCGGGTGGGGCGCGCTGGCGCGCTAGGCGTGCAGGGCCGGGACGGCCGTGCCGCGATTCCATGGCTGCATGGTCTGCCCCCGCCGCCGGCCGCCCCGCCCAAACTTTGATCGCCGCGCTGCTGTTGTGTCGGCCTGTCGGCCCGACTCGGCCGCGCTGCGCACATGGCCGCCTCTATTTCCCTTTCAGTTGGCCGGCCGAACAGCGCTTTCTGTCTCACTCGCACTCGCGGCGCCTCGCGTGGCGGTGCGAGGGAGACAGCAGAGAGCTCTGCTCGGTATCCACGCCCCGGAGCGCCACGCAGTGTGCGGTTGAGATAGGCGCGAAGTCGCTTGGCCGGCGCGGCACGGACCAAAGCCATCGTCTGTTGAGACGAATCGAAGCCCCGCCGGCCCCTCGCGCCCTCGCCCCACCTCATTGGGTCGGTAAAGACCCCGCCTCGCCGTGCCTTGCCTGCAGCCAGCCGCGCTGCCAGCCGGATTATTCAGATGTCTTAAGTGAAGAAAGTTGTAATTGCCTATTTAGCTCAAAAACAAGGTAATTGCCTATTTGGCCGAAAAACACGGTAAATGCGCCCTCCTCGTGGCGTGGGCTTCAAAGCGGCCGGGCGGCGCGGCGGCGCGGTACACTGGAACGATGTGCGCTTCCTGCCGGCATCGCGGCCGGGCGGAAACGCGCCCCGCAAATTGAAAAGTCGGAGGGAAAACTGCGACGCTCACGCCGGGAAACGCCTTTCTCTGTTGCAGCTGAGCGAGGACATCGGCTACGTCATGTACTCGGCGCTCGGCTCCTTCTTCATCCCGTCGTGCATCATGGTGTTCGTGTACATCCGGATCTACTACGCGGCCAAGGCGCGGGCGCGGAGAGGCATCCGGAAGACGCAGCAGAACCAGAAGAACAGCAGGCAGCAGGACCACCACCACTCGCCCCGGCAGGCCAACTCCGACAAGCAGGTGACCAGCTTCAGGTGAGCGGCAAATGAATTGCACACATTGCACGCGCACTCTGCAAACTCAACAGTGTGCTCAGCACACTCTGTTCAGCGTGTTCTCACAAGTACACTCCGACAAGAGCGTACTCAGATGAGTACACTATGACGAGAGTGTGCTTAGATGAGTACACTCCAACGAGAGTGTGCTAACGAGAGTGTGCTCGGATCCTGGAAATACATGCAATTGAGTACACGCTCGTGGGAGTGTGCTTGTGAGCACACGCTGAAGAAAGTGTACTCGTCAGTACACGCTAACGAGAGTGTACTCGTGAGTATACGCTAAAGAGAGTGTACTGAGTACACTGTTGAGTTTGCTGAGCAGTGCGCACACCCCTTAGCGAACCCCGGCCAGACTTGTTGATTTTGAGACACGCCTTCACTGAAGGTTCTTCTGTTGCAGCACGTCCCCGGCGAGGGCCGGGGGCCCTGGCGCTGGGTCCAACGGAGGCGGCCCGGGGGCGGGGGGCTCCGGGGGCGGCCCAGGGGGTGGTCCTGGCTGTATTCAAACTTCGGTTACTGTGGAGACGCCCCCCGTGATACCCAACATCACCTGCGACTTCGCCAGCGACATCAGTACTAGTGACAACGCCGAACAGTCCCAGGTGAGCGCGGCTTTCCTCCTTGATTAAAGTCCCGTCGGGACAGAGTGGCCCGCCTCGCCTCGGGCCGTCTGGGGCCGTCTGCCCGCGGCGGCTGCCCTGGCTGCCCGGCGCGGAGTGAGTGGGTGCTTTCAAATGCAGATCGACGCGTTTTCGTAATTCGCCTCTTTTGTCTCATTGGCGCCGGGCAAGCTTCTTTAAGGGAACGGCCCGAGTGCGCCATCAACTTGCTAGTTAAAATGAACCCCACAAAACTTTTCCTTCCCCTCTCTTTTTCCCCCTTCCTCTTCTCGCCTTTTTTTTGTAGGTCTGCCCTGCTTTTTCTTTACTCCTTAGTGCGTTGCCCAAAAATGCGCAAAAGGAAAGGAATCCTCGGGATCCTTTTAAGCGCTCCCCGGAGCAGGATTACCCTCGACGCTCGAATGGATGCGAGGAAGAAGCGCGAGAAAAAAAAAAGAAAAAAAGGATGGAAAAAACACGCGTGGCTTGCACTGGATTTACTCTCATTTGTAACAACGCGTGCCACCGGATTGCGTGGTTCTGCGCGCGGGCGGCACTGGCCCTGCGAGTGCGAGAGAGAGGCATGCCTACGGAGCGGAGCCATGGCGGAGCCGCAAATCCCGGCGTGACACAGTGGGCCAGAAGACCAGCGGAGGCGGCCAAAACTCTAGACGCGTTTTGAGCTCCAGAGTCGCTAAATGGGACTCGAATCGAACGTGTGACCCCACCAATGGATTCCTCGTTCGGAGCGCAATCCATTGATGGGGTCACACGTTCGGTTCGAGTCCCCTTAACGACGTACTTGCTCCATAAGAACCCATGTAAGTGGGTACGGAAATAAAGTACGGAACGTTCCGTAGTTGGCAAGTACGGACGGTCCAGGCAAATGATTGACCAGACATGTTCCGTACTTTTTCCGTACTTTTTTCTCACAGTGCAGATACTGCTTTTGAGGCAACACTGTTTGGGCGGGCTGCAAGTATCAGTTTTTTATTTTAGTTAGAAGGTTTTTGTTTTGTCCCACGAAGGTCGCACTCATGCATAGATTCTTATCAACTACACTTCATTCTGTTTTGCCCCTGGGCCTAAAACAAGTTTATTCAGTCTTTTTATTATTTTGCTTTGTTTTGTTGGGGAGTTTAACCCTTGGTTTAACCATTTGTGTTGGTTTTAAGGGAGCGGGAGCGCCTGTGGAGCCGAGGGTAGGCCAGCCCGCTCAACCCGGCCGTGGCGGCGTTGCCTACCCTCCGTTCCGCAGGCGCTCTGCAGCCCGCCGCACAGTGGGCCAGAAGCCGGTGGAGGCGGCCAAAACTCTAGACGCGTTTTGAGCTCCAGAGTCGCTAAATGGGACTCGAACCGAACGTATGCCCCAGCAATGGATTCCTCGTTCGGAGAGCAATCCATTGGTGAGGTCACACGTTCGGTTTGAGTCTCATGTAGCGACTCTGGAGCTCGAAACGCGTCTAGAGTTTTGGCCGCCTCCACAGGATTCTGGCCCACTGTGCGCCGCCGGGGAAGCAGTGGGTGGCAGTGTAGTGGCTCTGCGTGGCGCCGCCTTGCTGTGCGTGGGCCTTTTGGGCCCTTTGACCGAGGACCAAGGACGAGGCCTGACCCGCGTGCTCTCTGCGTTGCAGGATGCCTCCGGGCCGTACCTGGAGGCGCCCAAGGACACGCTCAAGGTGGTGGGCTCGGGGCCGCGGCCCACGCTGCTCACGCCCACCACGCCCGCCGCGCCGGCCGCCGGCATGCAGCACCGGGGCTCCGTCATGTCCGTGAACGGGGAGCTGGCGCAGCAGGCCGCGGCCATGCAGCGCATGCGCCAGCCCTCCGTGGGCATCGACACGGACATGGTGAGCGAGTTCGACCCGTCGTCGTCCGACTCGGGCGTGGTGAGCCGGTGCGCGGTGGTGAAGCCGCTCAAGCTGCGCCTGTGCCAGCCCATCTTCGGGCGCCGCACCACGTCCAAGACCAAGAGGGAGATCATCGACATGGGCCGGATGCCGGGCGGCCAGCAGGCCGTCGTGGAGGTGGTGCAGTCGCCACGGCCGTCCAAGCGTGACCCGGAGCGGGAGAAGCGGCGGCTGGCGCGCAAGAAGGAGAAGCGAGCCACGCTCATCCTGGGGCTCATCATGGGCTCCTTCATCGCCTGCTGGCTCCCCTTCTTCACGCTCTACATCCTCACGCCGCTCTGCTCCTTCTGCAACATCCCGGACAAGGCGTTCGCCATCGCCTTCTGGCTCGGCTACATGAACTCGGTGCTCAACCCCGTCATCTACACCGTCTTCAACAAGGACTTCCGGCGCGCCTTCCGCCGCATCCTGTTCAAATGATGTTTGGAGCCGCTTTGCTGCTGCGGCGTGCTGCCCGCTCGCACCGACCACGACCGGTGATATCCGCAGTCCGGGCCCCGGGCCCACGCCAGGACGCACGCTAACGCCAGGGTCCGGCCAGCGCCCTCCACCGCCTTCTAGTCCTTCTAGGCCGCCAACCCCCGCACTGGCCCCGCCTCACGCCGCGCCGTGTTGTGCGTTTTTTTTTCGGTCCTTCTCTTCTTTTCTCGTTTTATTTTTTGTAAATTCACACACTGTAAGCGGCGGGGCGTGCGGCGGGTACACTGCGGCGGCACGGGAGGGACGGCGTGGCCCCGGTGCGGCCACCGAGTGCGACACAGTGCACCGGCCTGGCCAGCCTCTCGAGTGATTGGACCTGGCAGAGTTGCCAAGCGGCGTGCAAGTGAACAGAAGGAAAGCGGCTTCCACTCTCTTCGACATTCAACGCTTAGAAAAAAATACTTCGGACCTCTACAACAATTTTCATAGCGTAGAATTTATCAGTCTAGATATAAGAATTTTGTTATTAACAAATAATACTGCCTGACTTCCCGTAAATTCGTTGTTTTCTCTACTTTTCATTGTGTTGGTCATTCCAAGCGAGGACGGAGAAATGAGTTTTTGTGTGACCATACAGCGTGACTGAGGCTTTAAATCAAATCACATCATGTAGCTTTTTAAGGATAATGTTTTATGGAGTGTTCGCCGTTCTGCAAAGAAGGCAGGCCTCTGATAAAGTCAATAAACGTGACAAAAACAGTGATAAGATTTTTTTATATTCGTTTAAATTATTCGTTTTGGTACAGTTTGACACGCACTCGGTCACACGTGTGCGCTGCCCGTATGTGCCACATCGTGTGGTTTTCGCTGAATTCTATCCGTGAATGACTAACACCTAGAGCACCCGATCTAATTTTAACTAATTAACATGCCGTTTCCCTGTTTTAAGGAGGAACTAATGTTTGCGTGTTTTCAGGCTATCTTATAAGCAATAACTGTGAAACAACATATCTGAAATGTGTTTTCACGCAAAGTAGTCGGCGCTTTTTGGATTTGGAGAGCTGCAATCGACTTCAAGGACCGCCGGGTAACAGTGCGGTGGTATCTCCTCCGGCGGGACATCTTGTCTTCTGCACAAAGCGAACTATTTCTGCAAATAACATGTTTTCGAGCTGTTTATACTCCCATAGGCGTTACTAAATTCAACATCTGGGGCTTAGGACCACAGTTGTAAGCTACTTTTTGGTTAGGTGTAGAAGCGGAGACGAATGCTGCTGTATGCGCTCTAGCCGGCGGTCCTTTTCTGACCATCCGAGTGGGTAAAACAAAGTTGTCAATAGGTTTTAAAACCTAAGCCAGACATGAACACAGCAGCTTTTTATCGGCGTGTTATGTTGATATAGACGGCACATTGACTTTCTAACCAAGTATAATTTTAAACTAATATATGTATTTTATATGGTACCGTAAGTGGCTTTCAATTTGGTGCCATGTTCTTAATCAACATTTTTATCAACCTCAAATTTTCAATTACATTTGTTAAACTGTGATAATTTTTTTGAGAATTACTTAATGATATGTTCATAATATATTCATATTAACACTTACTTCTCCTGCATAGCTGTATTTACCAGTAGAACGTGAAGAATTGCTTTGTTATGATTTGCCAGGCAGTTTTACTTTTTCTTCCTTTTCTAGACCTCAGTATGCGTTTTCGTGACGAGGATGTAAGCTCTGGTTGGCGTTAACCATTCGTTACAAAAAAATTATTATTATTATTATAAATATTACGAGTTCCAAAGTTCCTATTAAATACCTCGGCAATGCGCAGCCATAAATGGGAAGGTGTTCACTAATTGCCGTCTCAAATATTTTTAATGCAATCGCACCCTTCGGTAAGGCTAGCATTAGAGTGACGCGCACAAAATTTGGTCGATCCTCAAGTTTAGATCTTCATTGATCAAAGTCATTTTATTCTTTTGCTTTAGCACTGCTCAGTTTATTAAAGAGACCAAAAATATATTTCATCTTCGCTCAAGCTTACTATAAGTAGCACGAAAAGAGTGTCACATCTATGATAAATACACTTTTTCATAGATTCATGAGGTCTCACTTAGGTAATGATGCAGGAGTGTTCTTATACGAGCTGTACCTGTCGACACACTTCCTTAATAGTTTACACTGGCTAGAACAGACTAGGATACTAGAGCTGTAGATATTTTCTTTTTCTAGGTACTTTTTATTTAGTGCGGACTTGGCCTGCTTACCAGTCTGCCGGTTTATGACCATATTGTAGGCATCAATCTTTATTGTCAAAGGTTTGCAACGAACCCAATGGTGCTAAAATCGTAGCTGTAAATATCGTATAATATTAATCTAATTTGTAACTTTCTGTAAATATTGTACATAAAAGCGAAAACGCCAAAGAATCGTAACAACAATTTTGTAGATTCTAACTATGGATATAATTGGAGTTGAAAGGAAACTTCAGTGGACAGCTTTATACGCAGCCAAACTGTCTGCAAGACAATAACTATTTTGTGTTCCAGTTTGTTTGTTTTTCGTGCATCTACTTCTAATTGATATAATTTAGGTTGTGGTCACGTTGCCGGGGAGTAGAATCGCCGTATCGTATCCTAATAACTTTTTGAGATACGCTTGTCGCGGAACCATCTTGTGATCATACTTAAAATATAGAAGACTGTCCCTCTAACTATATTTTTTCCTGCTCACAATGTTTAACACTACGTTTAAAATATGGATATCTTTTATCATTGTTTAATTGCTTCCAGCTTTTTTCGATATTCCGTCCGATCACGGACGCCTTCTTTCTGAAACTAAAGAGGTTTTCACAATAATATCTTAGAAACGGCATTCTAAGCCTCGAAAAGGCGACTCGGAAGACGTCAGCACCACTTGTTGACCTCCCCCGTTCCGCAGCATTTCCTTCTAATTCCTTTCGACCTTGTTCACTGCCCTCTCCTGTTACCTCCACTCCACCAGACCGCGGCCCATGCACTGCACGCGGTGTGGGAAAGGCGCTCTTGACGGAATGGCTGGTCTGGAAATCCGTGTAATCGATTTACTTAGGATGGTGAACGTTTGAATTCGTCCTTTGGCTTGTGTTTGAGCGGAAAGACCTGGCCCGTGTGCGCGGCGAGGCGGTGCGGTCCGCGATGCGGCCTGTGCCGCCTTTGCCCTTGGCGTGTCGGCGCGTTAGCGGCCGCCCTGTCGGCTCACTGATTTTGGAGAGCGGTGCGAAGCCTCGAAACGATTGTTTGTTTTGTTTTGCGTTGTTTTGTATGAAAGTTGCGATTTGTTTGTTGCCACCAGTCGTCTTCTGACTGCCGGGCCGAGGGCTCTGAGCCCCACGCCTCGTCTCGGCTCTCCGGAGACACGAAGCAGAGCCTGTCTGAGGTGCCTCTGGGGACCAACGCAATCACACACGTGTGAATTGCTCTCTGAAACCTGCTTTGGTGTGCAACTGGTTTGTACACGGCCAATTGAGATACTTTAAGAAGCAAATATATTTTATTTTTATGAAAAGGATGATAACACTCAGGCACCCCAGCTGTGTAGTGGCATGGACGGATGGCGTCTGGTTGCTGTCGTACATTGTAAGTTGGTGGGGATTGTAATATATTGTTTACTGGTTGTAAATGACTTTGCAAATTCTAATCGGCGCTGTAACCCTAAATGCCAAACTTTATTTATAATGCGTAAGTTCTCGTCGTTTGGAAACGAAAACTTTCCATTTTATCAAAATGAGTACGAGTATTAGTCTTAATTGCAGTGGTTGTTGAACTTTATAGAGTCTATTACTGCACATTCTCAATAGCGGAAAGAAATGGAAAAGTAAACAACTCTTGCCTGTCTAGAGTTTCATAGCAATGGGAAATATGTTCTTGTCAATAGACTTTCAATTTGAAAATTGTTGCCGTGTAAATAACACAAAAAACTTGTATAAATTATAAATAAACATAAGAATGCTGTGTCTATGTACATTTATGGGAAGAAGAATTTGTTACAGGGAGTGGTTTTACTGTATACATATATATAAGCGATAATGTCTTCATAGCCTGTTCTCTAATAATTGTAATATGTATTGTTCCCTGTACATAGAAAAATGTAACCATTACTTGAGAAATTATGTCTGTTGATTATAAAATTCCTCTACCATTATGAAGGGTGATTGAAACTCGGGCATATATTAACAATAATATATTTCTGTTTCATTCGACGCTTCTCTTCTTACTTTTTTGTCTTCCTTTCCCATAAGTACGAACTAACGCGCGTCTGGCTTGAGCCGATCTCCGGACAAATCCCACCGGGAGGAGTCGCGAAGCATTTAAATATTCAAATTTGATTGCGAGGACAAAGTGAGATCGTCAAGTTGGCACAACTTTGGCAGCGCGCTCCACTAAGTTTACCTTTTAAGGCGCACGCACCGACAGAATGTGTGAGACGCTGCATATTCATCAGTTTCGAGTTGCCCTCCCGGAGTCGCGGAGGCTGACACGCTGCGCACGCAGCATTGAGACAACGACACAAGGCGTCGCCGCGCCGCCAGCGCCACTCCGACAACGGCTAAAAACGGAACAAAAAGAAGAAGGGAGCCACACGCGTGTCGCGACGCGCTGAGAAATGGGCCGAATATGTAAATCGGCCGCGCAAGTTTTTGTGTGGTGTGAGGTCCAGCAGTATAGTTGGGGCCAGCGAGACGTCCCCCGATAAATCAATCAGTGAAGCGGCGGAGGGGAGGGGAGGTTCAATTACTCAGCATGAAAACGACGAGCAACACGGCGGAGCTTCGGGACAAGGCGACGGAGGGGAGGGGGCGGCCTCGGGTTGACGCTCCGAAGGGACTGAAGGGACTGGCGGCTCGAGGGCATGCATGCACAATGGGACGCGGGCCTGGGCCGACGGGCCGCCCGGCCAGGCCGCTGTCCATCCAGTGTGTGTGATGCCGCCCCGCCGGCCCGGGCCGAGGCCCAGGCCCGGGCCCAGGCATTATGCGCCGAGTTTCTCAACCCCTTCACGCACACAGACACAAACCGGGTGGACACGTTGCTTTGCCGCCATTCCGAGGGAAAACAAGTTGGAATTCGGTGAGTACACTGCACTCCAGTTCAACTTTCCGCGGGGAGTTTGTTCCGGGGGTTGTTTTTTTTTCAGACAGTCGTTACTGAGTAAACCAACCGCGCTAGTCGTCCCCGGTACGCCCTTGCGTGCGTCGCGCGGCCGCGCCTCAGCTGACGTGACGAGGAATTTATTGCCGCTGGATTCGCAAAGCACGGCAGCCAACAGCAGGCAGCCAACGAAAGACAGGCCAGCCAGCCGCCCCAGGGCCGCCAGGGCCGCCAGGGCCCCAGACGCGCCGCCCCGCGCGAGGGCCGCGCCCTCCCCGGCGAGCCAGGCAAGCCAGCCGAGCGGCAGAGTCCGGCTCAGACTGCATCGACCTGGCTGGATTCGACAGCCGCTCTGTGGAGCATGCTCGGCGGTGCTAGCAGGGCTATAGTCGATCCAGTATAGGAGGAGTATGCATAAACAATGCACGCGCGACGCAAAGCCCCTTTGATGGAGATTTAGTGGGCCGTGTTGCCCGTCCGATCGAGGATGTGCGATCCCCCGCACGCCCGCACGCCTCGGCACGCCTCGGCACCCCGCCACCTTCAGGGGGAGGAGGGGATGCACTTTGCGTTAACACTGTCTCGGCAATACTTTCACGGCGAACTCTCGCAATGAAACTGCAATGCTTCTGCAACTCGCGCGAGGAGCGGTGCAGTAATTAAGTTATTGCAATGTTTTCCAGATCCACCGCCCCAATGGGCGGTGTTCGAGCGATCGCGTTCTGAAACGAAAGTCGAAGTTTTAATATATGCCGATGGACGAGGAAACTGTTTGGACTGCCAGTTGCTGTTGCATCCCCCCCCCCTCTTTTTTGTTTTGAAATGTATATAAAGCAGCGGCCGCTCGTTTTGGGCCATGGCGTATTCGTCGCCACGTGTGTTTGCCTCCAAATAATCCCCATTGAGGGCGTTTGACCGCTCGCCACCTGGACTCGCGGCGCCCCACTCCCACTGCCATATTAATTAATTTCGGAGTCATTTCATTAATTTCTGGGCATGCACGCGAAGGCCGGCCTCTCTGGCGCTGAGCACGCCGAGCGGCGGCGCGCACCCTCGCCGTACGCAGCCCCCATAGATTGATTAGGCAATAGACAATGGACAGAGACCCTCCAGGCTCCGGGCCGCTCCGGGCCGCCCGGCGGTATGCCCTCCCAGTCCTCCCACTGAACCTGCAGTGAACATCGTCGTGTAAGTTATCGGGCCGCCGCTGGAAGCCGGGAAGCCAAGCCGCTGATCGCAGCCCGGGCGGTCTGTCCCAACCTATTGGCTCGTTTTTCATTGCGGCCGGAATGCGGGAGAGAGGGAGAGAGAGGGAGAGAAAAAGAGAGAGAGAGAGAGAGAGAGAGAGAGAGAGAGAGAGAGAGAGAGAGAGAGAGAGAGAGAGAGAGAGAGAGATGCGACCTCCGCGGATCTGCCTGGCTGGCTGCGCATGGCTGCGCAGTGCCGCGCATAGTGCTGCGGTCTGCCACCAGCGCGGTCTGATTCCACACAGCGCCGTCGCCCGTCGCTCCGTCTCTCTCGCACTCACGCCTCGTCGCCGCGTCGCGTGTGGGTGCGAGAGAGACGGAACGCCGAGCCGAATGAGCCCGCTGGCCGCCCCGGCGGCGCACTAAGGCAGCGGTTCTCAACCTTTCTCGTCTCGCGACCCCAAATTTGAAGCCAAAAATTTCCGCGACCCCAAGGAAAAATTTCGTGACTCCACGGGACCCCTCCTTTAACATGCCACGGCGTCTGATCCGAGGCGGGCATTTTGCTCCCTCAACGGGAAACTGGTCTTTGGACCTTCCTTTAGCATGCCTTTGTTACGGAGTGCAATTATCAGTCTTAGTTTGGGAGCAGTATTGTCTCAAAGTTGGCCGAAACGCTCAGAAATGTCTATGAAAAATCGTGTTTTGGGCTGATTTTAAGCAGCCACAGCGTCTGATCCGAGCCCGGGGATTTTGCTCCCTCAACGGGCAGTTGGTCTTTGGACCTTCCTTTAGCATGCCTTTGTTACGGAGTGCGATTATCAGTCTTAGTTTGGGAGCAGTATTGTCTCAAAGTTGGCCGAAAACGGTCAGAAGTGTCTTTGAAAAATCATGTTTTGGGCCGATTTTAAGCAGCCACTGCGTCTGATCCGAGCGGGCATTTTGCTCCCTCAACGGGCAATTGGTTTTTTGGACCTTCCTTTAGCATGCCTTGTTACGGAATGCAATTATCAGTCTTAGTTTGGGAGCAGTATTGTCTCAAAGTTGGCCAAAAAGCTCACAACTGTCTTTCAAAGACATTTTGGGTCGGAAATTTGAGCAATACTGCTCCCAATCCAGACCGGGGTTTTGCTCCCTCAACGGGCATGCTTTGGACCTTCCTTAAGCCATTTCCCGTTAAGGATGCGATATCAGCTTAGTTTGGGAGCAGTATGCTCAAAGTTGGCCAAAACGCAGTCACAACGGTCTTTCAAAGACATTTCTGAGCGTTTCGGCCAACTTTGAGACAATACTGCTCCCAAACTAAGACCGATAATCACACTCCGTAACAAAGGCATGCTAAAGGAAGGTCCAAAGACCAATTGCCCGTTGAAGGAGGACGAAATACCGCCTCGGGTCAGACGCAGTGGCTGCTTAAAATCGGCCCAAAACACGATTTTTTAAAGACATTTCTGACCGTTTTGGTAAACTTTGAGACAATACTGCTCCCAAACTAAGACTGATAATCACACTCCGTAACAAAGGCATGCTAAAGGAAGGTTCAAAGACCAATTGCCCGTTGAGGGAGCAAAATGCCCGCCTCGGATCAGACGCAGTGGCTGCTTAAAATCGGCCCAAAACACGACCCCAGCTACCTCGCCGCGACCCCTTAAAATTTTTTCGCGACCCCACTTGGGGTCGCGACCCTAAGGTTGAGAACCACTGCACTAAGGCGTCTGCCGTTCGCCTCCAGAGCGACGCAGAGCGACGCACACCGCTGAGGCTGAGCACCGCCATTGTCCCACGGCGGCCCACGGCCCACAGCCCACGGCCCACAGCCCACGGCCCACAGCCCACGGCCCACAGCCCACGGCTCACGGCCTCTCGGTCGACTTGCCTCCAGTGGCGTGGCGGCGTGGCCGACTGCACCTCCAGAAGCTGCACCTGGAGAGCTCGTTCGGTGAGTCGTCGGCGTGCCGCCGTGCCGTTCAATCCCCCAGAAGTACACGATGCTCACGCACGTTTTTTTTCAGCTGCCCCTCGTCCCCCTCCTCCTCCCCCTCCTCCTCCCGCCTCCGCCCGACTCTCAGCGTTCCCGGTACGACGGCGCTCTCGCTCCACTCGCTCGGAGTAACGTTCCAGGCCGCGGTCCTCGGGGCGGGGCGGGGCGGGGCGGGGCGAGCACGGCGCGGCGCGCTGAATGTGTCTCCGTCGGCACCCGGGACGCGCGCGCATTCCCACCCCCACCTCCTAGACCCTATTCCTTAACGTTGCGCGCCGCCCTGGCCGGGGCCCTGGCCCAGGCCCTGGCCCAGGCCCTGGCCTCCCTTCGCCACCTTCATTCGTTGTCAAGATTCCGTGGATACCGCCGCTCTGCTACACCGCCCGCCACGGCTGCCAAGCGCTCTCTCTCTCTCTCTCTCTCTCTCTCTCTCTCTCTCTCTCTCTCTCTCTCTCTCTCTCTCTCTCTCTCTCTCTCTCTCTCTCTCTCTCTCTCTCTCTCTCTCTCTCTCTCTCTCTCTCTCTCTCTTAAAAAAAAAAAAACAATAATACTGCATGCATATTTTGTGACAAAATTGAACTCATGTCCTGGCCCTAATTGTTAAAAACAAAATCCCCCCAATAAATAATTTTAAAAACTAAAAAAAAACTCTCTCTCTCTCTCTCTGTCTCTCCTAGTGTCGCAGCGCGCACTCAGAAGAAGCCGCCTAAATTCTCCAACTGGCTATCCGCGTGCACCGCGAGGAGTGAAAGGGGAATCCGCAACAACCCGCTTCGTGGCCTGTCCGATTCCGGGAGTCGTTTTCGTCGCTCCGTCTCTCTCGCACACACGGAGCGACGCGAACGGGTGCGAGAGAGACGGAGCGCGGAAGCAGTCCGCTGGCCGGCCGCGCCGGAGGAATAAATTATTCATCAGTTTCCTCGATACTTTTGCCGGTCCGCAA